GGTGTGCATAGCAGTGCACCAGTGGGAAGAGGAGGCCAAGAGTTTGTCCCTTTGGACAACTGGGAGAGTCACAGGCTCCAGGTGATGACTAAGAATGTGTTTGCCGAGGAGACAGATGGACAGATGGACATGACTAGACAGCAGCTTGGATGAGCTGCCTTTTCCCTCGTCGCCCTCCTGCTCCTGGAGGCCAGTCCAGTGTTCAGCCTAGGAAGGTGGGTTGGTCACTCCGGAATGAGCCAGGACTGCCAGGCCACTCGGAGGACCCAGCTGCCTCGTGTTCCAATGCTCCTGTTACGACTCCTCCACTTCTTATGACAACTCATGATTGTTTCCTGTATTTCTGTGCCTAGGAAAGAAGGTGTGATGAGGTGATAATCAGCAAGGACTTACGAGGGCCCACTGCGTGCCTTAGCACTTTCGAAGGAATTATAAAGCAACTGGGGAGGTGACCCGGCCTGGACAGAATTGCACGGCCCGGCATCGAGAACCGGCGAAGCCTCAGTCCTGTGTAGCAGGGACAGAGCAGGACTGGGTGAGCCGTGACTCTGTTCCTGAGACCAACCGTCTCGAACGTAGTTACACCAGCGGCCTGCTGGTTCATCGCCCAGAATGTTCTGGATACTCCTTTGGATCTTGCCTTCATATTCTTTTGTTTTCTACAGTATGAATTAAGAGACTAAAAGGTAATGCACTTATGCATTTCTTTCTTTTCTTTTTTGAGACGGACTCTCACTCCATCGCCCAGGCTGGAGTGCAGTGGCACAATCTCGGCTCACTGCAACCTTCACTTACCTGATTCAAGCAACTCTCATGCCTCAGCCCCCTGCCAGTAGCTGGGACTGCAGGTGCACGCCACCAGGCCCGGCTAATTTTTGTATTTTTAGTACAGACATTTCACCATGTTGGCCAGGCTGGTCTTGAACTCCCGACCTCAGGTGACCCACCCACCTTGGCCTCCCAAAGTGCTTGGGATTACAGGCATGAGCCACTGCACCTGGCCTAACTTATGCATTTCTTTTACACGTAAAAATATCAAGAAAAATTACATAATCTGGACAACCCAGAGCATCAGTGTATTTTTCTCCACTTGTATTTGTACGTAACATTTTTTCTGGCTGGGCACGTTGGCTCACACCTGTAATCTCAGCACTCCTTAGTATTTTCTACTAAAAATACAAAAATAAGCTAGATGTGGTGGTGCATGTCTGTAATCCCAGCTACTTGGGAGGCTGAGGCACAAGAATCGCTTGAACCTGGGAGGCAGAGATTATAGTGAGCCGAGATCGCACCATTGCACTCCAGCCTGGGCAACAGAGCAAGACTCCATCTCAAAAAAAACCCAAAAAACTAAAAAACCATTTTTTCTCCTTCCTTGCATTTTTGTCCAAATATTTGTGCACATAGTTTGAAAAGTCATGGCCGGGCACTATGGCTTATGCCTGTAATTGCAGCACTTTGGAAGGCCGGGGCAGGTGGATCACTTGAGGTCAGGAGTTCGAGACCAGCCTGGTCAACACGGTGAAACCCGTCTCTACTAAAACTAGAAAAAATTAGCTGGGTGTGGTGGTGGCACCTGTAGCCCCAGCTACTCTGGAAGCTTGAACCAGGGAGGTGGAGGTTGCAGTGAGCCAAGATGGCGCCATTGCACTCCCTCTGCCTGGGCAACAGAGTGAGACTCTGTCTCAAAAAAAAAAAAAAAAAAAAATCAAATCGTTCTTAAAGTTTGTTATGAAAACTCCTCCCACCAGTTCCCCTCCCTGGGACAGCCAGTTTCACCTCTCCCAGCATATTATACTGATATTTACCTCTAGGTCTCTAAATAATGTGCTTGTATCACCCTTCCTTGCTTTTTCATTTTGGGCATTATATGAAGACCCTTTCTTCCCACCCCCGCCCCTCGCAATGACTTAGCTCTGCCTTCCCCTCCCCACCCCATTATCCCTTCTTTCTCCCAGAGTTCATAATTATACTGACTTAGTTACAGCATTATTTAGCATTTACAGTATTATGAGCATGGAAATATCACAGGCAAGACACGACACTATTTTCTAGCACTACTTTTTGTTTTCCTAGAGCCGGTACTTGGTTTTTCGTTTGTTTAGCTTGTTGTGGTTGTGTGTGTTTCTTTTTTTTATTTTTGAGATGGAGTCTCTGTCTCCCAGGATTGTGGTTGTGTGTTTTTTTTGTTTTTGAGATGGAGTCTCACTCTCCCAGGGTTGTGTGTGTGTGTGTGTGTGTGTGTGTGTGTGATGGAGTCTCTGTCTTCCAGGGTTCTGTGTGTGTGTGTGTGTGTGTG